TTTTTATAATTATTTTTAAAAAATCATTTGGCTGGGGAGCCAAGTAGTTATCTATTTTATAATGTAGAGATAAGTACATATGTAAATATATATTTATTTGGGTATTACATCTGTAATATGTATATAATTATTGGCCTTGAAGGCTTTTTATATTACTTTGAATAAATAAATTAATGTTTCTTTTTAAAAATAAGCAGCACAATAATTTTTAAGTCTCACTTCAATTTTTGTGAACGCAGCTGTATATAAATTATTGCAAAAACGTTCGTGTTTTATGAACAATGAATATTCATGTACATTCTGAAGGAAAAAATTATTTGCTTTTAATTTTCCAATGTAGTGCGCAAAATGAAACTATGCTCATTCACTTAAGAAAATTTTGCAAAAATATAGGTATAAATAAAAATAAATAAAAAAATAGAAGTTGTTTATTTTGTTTTTTTTTTTTTTTTTTCCCTTACAACTGCATTTAGAGTTGGAAAACAACCAGCCAAGTGTAGAAAGGAATGTATAAAAAAAAAAAAAAAAAAAAAAAAAAAAAAAAAAAAAACTCACTGTTATTGTTGGTGTTTTGTCAAAACTTTAATGTTTTGTGAAAGATGCGTTTTGAATTCTTATTGAGTTTAAAATAATTCTTTCATAAGACATTTCTAGTTTTCCTAGAATATTGGGAAAGGTTTCCTGATGAGCTGGCTTAAGCAACCGGCGAAATGCGCATAGGAACTAGCTTCCCCACCATCAATACATTACAGTGAATTTATTTAAAAATTGGGGTTGAAAGCACGATAAGAAACTCTTTAACTTATTTGAAAAAATAATAAAAATCCCGAAATCAATTTTTAAATTAAATTTGCAAGTGCCCGTGCATTTAAAACTGAATACCCTATTCTGTTGTTTTTATAAACAACAAAATAGAAGTTGTTTATTTTGTTTTTATTTTTTTTTTTTCCCTTACAACTGCATTTAGAGTTGGAAAACAACCAGCCAAGTGTAGAAAGGAATGTAAGAAAAAATAAACTCACTGTTATTGTTGGTGTTTTGTCAAAACTTTAATGTTTTGTGAAAGATGCGTTTTGAATTCTTATTGAGTTTAAAATAATTCTTTCATAAGACATTTCTAGTTTTCCTAGAATATTGGGAAAGGTTTCCTGATGAGCTGGCTTAAGCAACCGGCGAAATGCGCATAGGAACTAGCTTCCCCACCATCAATACATTACAGTGAATTTATTTAAAAATTGGGGTTGAAAGCACGATAAGAAACTCTTTAACTTATTTGAAAAAATAATAAAAATCCCGAAATCAATTTTTAAATTAAATTTGCAAGTGCCCGTGCATTTAAAACTGAATACCCTATTCTGTTGTTTTTATAAACAACAAAATAGAAGTTGTTTATTTTGTTTTTTATTTTTTTTTCCCTTACAACTGCATTTAGAGTTGGAAAACAACCAGCCAAGTGTAGAAAGGAATGTAAGAAAAAATAAACTCACTGTTATTGTTGGTGTTTTGTCAAAACTTTAATGTTTTGTGAAAGATGCGTTTTGAATTCTTATTGAGTTTAAAATAATTCTTTCATAAGACATTTCTAGTTTTCCTAGAATATTGGGAAAGGTTTCCTGATGAGCTGGCTTAAGCAACCGGCGAAATGCGCATAGGAACTAGCTTCCCCACCATCAATACATTACAGTGAATTTATTTAAAAATTGGGGTTGAAAGCACGATAAGAAACTCTTTAACTTATTTGAAAAAAATATTTCTCTCTTTTTTTCTCAATTTCGTTTATGAAAATAAAAAACAAAACAATACATACAAGAATTAAATCAAAAACTGTCCTTTTCGTACATGAACAGGTGATAACGCATTTTTTCATTTACGTGAACATGAGTGATAAATTAATGAATATTTGGTACACTGGTAATTAATATTTAATTATTTTCTGAAATGATACCTACATTGTCTTTTCAAATATGTACACAGTGTTACCATATGTCAAGTTTTCCCTTTTTTTGGAAGTTTTTTGAGATTCAAAAAAGTTTTCAAGTTTTATGCCAATAAAAAAAGTTTTTTGAAAATTTATACAGTTTTTCAGTTTTTATTAGTTTAAAATAAAAAAACAATGTTTACCATTAACAAAATAATATTTTATACCATTAATATGCGAGATATTCCTAAAAACTGAAAAAAATTGACCGGTGTTGATGACCTTAATCCCTTAGAATAGACGTTGAGGACACAATGCACTTCGACCATATTGTAGAGATTTTGTGCAGCCCATTGGTTCACCATACTAGGCCAAATTCGCGCATGAAGATAAATGGATTAATCGGTGAGTGTTTGAAGATATCATCTGGGTCTGGGTAAGACAAAATCTTCGTGTTTCGAGTTCCCAATGACGGGTAGTTACAAAAGTTCAGAGGTTTCCTCTTGTAGTACACAGAATCTACATAGATTCATCATGACATTTCAAGTGTAAATTTATGGTGTCTCAGACCACAATATCCAGTAATTCCTTGCTACTGATGTTAAGGAAAAGTTCTGTACCAATTATCATTAAGCTATTTAAAATTCCTCAATTTGCTCATTTTTTCACTAATTTTTCTTGGGTATTTTGTAATTTTAGTACAAAAAAAGTTTTTTTTTTGTTGAAAAAAAGTTTTTTTCATAAAAATAAAAAGTTTTCTTCAAAAAATATATGGCAACACTGTATGTACATAAAAATTTGAATATAATCGGTTAACCGGTTTTAAGAAAGTTGATAAACGAAAACAGTCCGATCATCCCGAAAACCGGTTTTTGAAGAAAGCCGAATCGATCTCCCTAATATGAATCACATAAAAAATCGATGCTATAACTCATAAGAATTAATCGTTTGAAACCTTATGATAAATACTAAAATAAAATACTATTAATCGATCAGAGTTAACGAACTTTCGGCCACCTTCGAACTGTAACAACAATAAAAACAAATGATCATTCAATATTTTTTTGTGGCATTTATTCTTTACTTCCAATTTAATTTAAAACAAGTAAAATTATAGTCGGGCGTGGCCGACCATATGATATCCTACACCAATTGCGAATATTGAATGTGATTAATTTCAATAATAAAGCATTTCTGTTAATCTTATATAGGTTCCAAATAATGTCTGTTCATGTTCGATTGTATGCTGACTAGGAGAAATAAAAGACCGATTTCAATCATTTTCAACAGCCAACGTCAGTGGATCCAGAAAATAGTGTGTGACCCATTGTATGTGACGTAGTTAAAAGATAAACGGCCGAAATCGGAAGGTCCGGATGTGTGAGGGCTAAGGCAGAAATTGAGCCGATCCTTATAAAATGTGTTTTTGGGAATTATATATATACATATATAAAAATCAATGTGTGTTTGTTTGTATGTTTATATGTTTGTTTGTTTGTGGGTTTATATCTTTGTATGTTTGAACGTTATAGACTACTAAACGGCTAAACCGATTTTCTTCAAATTTTCACAGCACATTCCTGTATGTCTGGCAATAGACTACTTTTTATTTCCGATCATGGCGAAAAATGACAGTGTTATTTACAATTATATTAAACTTAGTTGTTCCAATTTTTGGGAAGATAGTAGTATATTTATAGTAGTTATGACTAAAAGGCCCAAATCGGTAGGTCCGGTTGTATGGGGGCTAGGGCAAAAATTGGTCCGATCCTTATAAAATTTAATGTCGACATTTATGTTTATATAAAATCTATTTGTGGCAAATTTCATCGTGATACTAGTGTTTATAAGTGAATTGTGGACATTCAAGTCATTTTCTGAAGGGAATTTTGTATGGGGGAAAGGGTCAAATAATGCCCGATCATTATAAAAATCGACAGTGTTATTTATAATAATATCAAACTTAGTTGTGCCGATTTTTGGAGAGATAGTAGTATATTTGACAAAGTTATGAGCTAAAAGGCCCAAATCGGAAGGTCCGGTTATATGGGGGCTAGGGTAAAACTTGGTCCGATCCCTATAAAATTTATTGTTGGGAATTATGGTAATATAAAACTCATTTGTGCCAAATTTCATCGTGATACTAGTGTTTATAAGTGAATTGTTGACATTCAAGTCATTTTCTGAGGGGGACTTTGTATGGGGGCTAGGGTCAAATAATGCCCGATCTTTACCAAAATAACTATAATTATTAAGACATATATAAAACTAAATTTTTCCAATTTTTGTAGAGATAGTGGATCATTTAACATAATTATCAGATCAAAAGCCCTATTCGGGGGGTCCGGTTGTATGGGGGCTAGGTGAAATAATGGACCGATTTCAACTATTTTCAATAGCGTTCGTCCTTGGACTAAGAGAAGTGCATGTTCCAAATTTCATCGAATTATCTCAAAAATTGCGACCTGTAGAGTGCGCACAAGGTTTACATGGACACACAGACAGACGGACATAGCTTAATCGACTCAGGAAGTGATTCTGAGCCGATTGGTATACTTTAAGGTGGGTGTAAGACCAATATTTTTGGATGTTACAAACATCAGCACAAACGCATAATACCCTCCCCACTATAGTGGTGTAGGGTATAAATACTTTTGAATTATGAATATGATAAGTGTTATTATTAAATCCAAAATTCAAGTTTTTTACAGGAATGTAATTTTTTATAAGGGAGTAAATATTTTTTTTATTCCATAAATATGTACCGTTACTTTTGTCCAATATGCTTTGACCGACAAATTGTAGTTCATTTGTATACATATCAAATATTATTTTCCGAACACAATAATTTGTAATAAAATATTACAATAGTTGAATTTTTAAGAGTGCGTACTTTCGACATTTGCTACAATTAAAGTAAATTAACTCTATATAGATTGATATGTATTTATTTTCACTTTTCCCAGGCGACCCTTCTGACAGCCAGTCAGTCATTTAATGTACTCACACCATTGTCCTTCTTTCCATACATAAAAGGTTTTATGAGTTTAAATTCCTTTACGTATTATTATATGGTACGTACCTTTAATACAACAAAATTTACATTGGCCATCATTATTTTTCGACTAACAGGAACGTTGAGAGAACGAAAAATTATGCAAATCTTTGATATTCGATTGTATTTAAGTCTCAAAGGTAGTTTGCAACTGCAGACTTATTTTTTAATAACACAATCAACATTGAAACATTTTCCTTTTTTCTAAGCCTTGTCACAACCACAAAAATCTTAAAACATTTTTAATATTAAATAAACACAAACACGTTCATACTTGTTTCTTTAAGGGAACATTTAATGTTAACTTGAAAACGAAAACAAACAATTTTTCAGGAATTTTATGCAGATTTTTCTACTTAACAACAAAAAGTTCTGTTTTTTAGACGAGAGAACCAAGTCTATTCAAAATTATTAACGGCGGCACTATTCTGTTTGGCGACTTCGGCACATTGTGGCATGCAACATAGTCAGCTAAAATTTAATTATGATTTAAAATCTATGTATACTCGGTTGTTAGAATTTAAGCTGCAGGTCCACACCAAGCGTATTACGCTTCTTCGCATTCTACGCGGCTGTCAAAAAAGTAGAATCAATGTTGTTTTGTATGCTATAAGCAAACAAAAGCGTAGGATGTCTTGACGCGTAGAATTTTTAAAGTAGATCTACTTTCTACTTTTGTAGAGCGGGAGGTCGAAACTACGCGTCTTCGCGGCAAAGCATTTCGTTCTTTTCATATTTTCTTTGCATCCTATGCATCAAGCTACATGCTACGCTTCTTAAGCGTCAATTATTTGCTTTATTTACAAAGAACTTCGCGTTTTTTAAGTGTTTTAATTATATTTTCACAATTTAACTCGTTTTAGTTTATTAAAATTGATAAATACATATAGAAAATAGAATATAAATTTTCAAAATCAGCTGACATATTCGTGCGCCGCTTATGACGCTTACAGAAATAGAAAATATATCTACTTAAAGGTGGAAGTATACAACACGCGTTGGGGCGGCAACGCGTTATACATTTTTCAAAATTTTCGCGCTTTATAAGCGGCAAGTTACACACCACGCGTCATTTTGATATTTCTTTTAATGATTTTTGAAACTATTACTGTTTTAAAAACCCAAATTTTAAGTTTTTGTGTATATTTTAATATTTTGCTTCTATTGTTTTAGAAATTTATTTAATTTTAGTTTATTCTTATTCTACACAAAACCAAATACAATCCTGATCAGCAGCTGAAGCGTCAAAAGTTGAAATTTGGTGAACTTTTCGCGGCAGGCGCGTTACAAACTACAATGTGTAACTTGTTAAATGAAAATACACTATTTCAACTTTTTTAGACAGAAGCCAATAACGTATTGCCGCGTAAAACGTATGTTGTGTACATCCACCTGAAAGGGATTTCTACGCATTCTACGCGTCAAGGCATCATACGCTTTTGTGCTTGTAAATTGTAGCACACAACAACATTGATTCTTCTTTTTTGACAGCTGCGTAGAATGCGAAGAAGCGTGGAACGCGTGGTGTGGACTTCCAGCTGAAGCGTCATAAGCAGCGCGAATATGTCAGGTGAATTTGACAATTTGTATTAAATTTTGAATGTGTATTATCAATTTTAATAAACTAAAACAAGTTAAATTGTGAAAATATAAAAAAAAAAACGCGATGTTCTTTATAAATAAAGCCAAAAATTGACAAAATTGACTTAAGAAGCATTGTATGTAACTTAATGCAAAGAAGGTATGAAAAGCACGCAATGCTTTGACACGAAAACGCGTAGGGTGAACCTCCAGTTTTACAACGTTGGCAGTAAAATGTCTAACAACAGTGTCAACCTACAAATTTTGACTTGCAACGTTATCAGTAATTCTTGCAACGTTATCAGTAATGCTTTTTTATAAGTTCACATGATTGTTAGAAATATTCTGCAAATTTTACTGACAAAGTTATAAGATCTGACAACCGTGTATCACAGCTTAAGGTGCTATTAGACGACATGTACTTTACATATGGGCAATTTCTATCACGTGACCCAAACTCAAAAAATCAATTTTATAACATTTCGTACTACTATTGGATAGTAGGCGCGACACAAATTTTTAGCGCTATCGGTCCAGAACTGCCGGACTTAAGATGAAAGTACACAAAACGCGTTGGGGCGGCAACGCGTTTTACGCTTTGCAAACTTTTCGTGCTTTATAAGCGGCAAGTTACACACCACGCGTCATTTTGATATATCTTTTAATGTTTTTTAAGACTATTACTGTTTTAAAAATCAAAATTTAAAGTTTTTGTATATTTTTTAATATTTTTCTTCCATTGTTGAAGAAATTTATTTCATTTTAGTTTATTCTTATTCTACACAAAAAATACAACCCTGATCAGCTGCCGAAGCGTCAGAAGTTGAAAGTTGCTGAACTTTTCGCGACAGGCGCGTTACAAACTACAATGTGTAACTTGTTAAATGAAAATACACTATTTCAACTTTTTTTGACAGAAGCCTATAACGCGTTGCAGCGTACAACGCGTGTTGTGTACTTCCACCTTTGGAGGGAGTCAAACAAAGTTGGACATTTTGGTCAAACAGGGTTTTATTCAAATGCGTATAACTTTTCACCTATTGGTCCCAGCAAAAAATTTCCAAAGGAGTTCAGATAGCTATTTCTTAAATTTTTCCAAAAAAAAAAATAATTTTTTAAAATTTAAAAAAAAAAAAATTTAAATAATTTTTACTTTTTTTTTTTTTTTCAAAAAATAATTTTTTACAATTTTTTTTCAGAAAATCCCCATTTTTTTGCTCAAACGAAAGCTTAGGTAATTTACTTTAAGGTCTTTATAGTCCCATTATGGGATGCGAGTGGGATATCTATCAAAAAATATATTTTTTAACTTAAGAATAAACATTTTTTAATATTTTTCCCCCCATTTTTTCAAAATGGACGTTTTTGTTTTCTTTTTTTATACCCTCCACCACCATCAGTGGTGATAGAGGGTATATATAAGTTGTCATTCCGTGTGTAACACCAAGAAATATTCATCTGAGACCCAACAAAGTATATATATTCTGGGTCCTTATCAAATTCTGAGTCGATTTAGCTATGTTCGTCTGTCCGTCCGACCGTCTGTCTGTCTGTGTAAAACACGCTCACGCTAAAACGAAGCAATGGAAATTAACGAAATTCAGCAAAAATATTCATTATTATCCGGTACAGTTTGGTGTTGAAAATGAGAAAAATCGGTTCGCATCGGCAAAAGTTATGAATCAAAATTTAAAACAACTCCGAAAAAAATAAGCATTTTTTATACATTCTGATGTAATTTTCTTGAAAACTATGCAAGATAATTTCATGAAAGTCATCATACATTCGTTTCTACACGAGATCTTGATTCCTGCTGAAAATTGCCAGAATCGGTCCACAATTTCATATACCTCCCATACAAAAGTATATATTCCCGGAAAATGAGTTTATTGTTAATAACTTCCGTCAGATGGGCCCAAAATTGGACATAACTCCCATACAAGGTCCCCTCCCGAAAATCACTTAAATGCGCATAATCATTAGTAAATTGAGATATCCATATATAATTTGGAATAAGTATTGCTCTCACATATAGAAATATTACTATGAAATTTTTTTCCGATCGGTCCATAATTGGTCATACCTCCCATACAAGGACCCTTCCGAAAATCACTCAAACGCGCATAACTCATTACTAAATTAAGATATTCATATTTGGTACAAGTATTGCTCATACGCACAGAAATATTACTGTGAAATTTTTTTCCGATCGGTCCATAATTAGTCATAGCTCCCATACAAGGTCCCTTCCCGAAAATCACTTAAACGCGCATAGCTCATTACTAAATTAAGATATTCATATAAAATTTGGTACAAGTATTGCTCATATGCACAGAAATATTATTGTGAAATTTTTTTCAGATCGGTCCATAATTGGTCATAGCTCCCATACAAGGTCCCCTCCCGAAAATCACTTAAACGCACATAACTCATTACTAAATTATGATATCCATATAAAATTTGGTACAAGTATTGCTCACATCTATATAATTAATAGGCAAGACGATTTTTTGTGACCCCTTTTACTCTTACCGTATACATCTGATCTTGGCAAAAAATATATCATTTTAAAGGTATTTGTTCACAGATGTGCACAATATATATATTAATGAGATCGGTTCAGAATTTTAGGAGCTATAAGCGTTTAAAGTTGTTACTAATACATAGAAACAATAGTCACACGTACGTATTCTTGAAATTAAAAACAAACAAACAAAGCATGAAACAAAACAAAAAAGTAAACAACACGGCTTTTTGAAAAAAAGAGAGGAGAGTGCAGAAACGTTTAACTTCTCTGTTGCTGTTTTCTTTTTATATTTTGCATGATATTTGTTTTTGTTCCTTTTAATAAGATTTTTGTAAACAAATAAGTATGTAAACAGGCTCAGGCAATGCGAAAACAGGATTTTATTGTTTTATATTTTTGTGTAAAGTGCTAAATTGTGAATGAGATAATGATCTATTTTGTTATAACATCGTTACGATTGTTACCAAATCGAATATTTTTATAAGAAGTAGGACTTCAGTTTTATATTTAGAGTTTTCGATTGAAGGTTTTTCGTTATTTAAACTTTTCAAAATAATTAAATTGAAGGACTTTCATGAGGAAACAACGAACTGCGAATATAAAAACATGTGTAAATAATGCTTGGGGACACCTCAAGATATGCCAAAAAATGTACTGATATTGATGTTTGACCTGGAAAAATATTGGTAGGACATCAGTACCGGAATTCAGTAATTGTTTTAATTTTAAGTATTGATATCGTAAAGTAATGACAAATATCGGTTACATTAACGAATTTTCAATTCCCTAACTTTTTAACGACCGTAGAATATTTTAAAAACAAAGATCGGAAAACTATAAGAATGTCAAAAGTTATGTATTGATACATAATTATTAGTTTTGATTTGGAAGATTTAAATGATGGATTAACGAATTGATTCAGTGTCAGTAAGTAATAAAAAAGCCTGTATAAAATATATGTAAGTAAAGTTTAGTTCGTCATGCCGGTACATGATACACCGCAATAAATGGATAGGTATATCGCTTATATGCAGGTTTAGCACAGCGAGGATTTGATGATATTCTTCTTTTTTGGGTTATTCTAACCAATTAGGAAATAGTAGTGTAAAGTGAAAACTGTAAGTTGAATAGGTGATGGTTATATGCAATATACAAATAGATAAAACTGCTAAATATAAATCATGTCTTTTGGGATGAGTGTTTAACCGTACTTAGCAATTTATCGTTTATTTAATAAATGTAGGTCTGCTGAAGTCTTTGTCGAGTGTTATAAGGGAGAATTTATACAGCATATACTTGATGGAAGGACTACTAATGACATCCAAATAAAATTTATTTATAATTAGATAAGACATTATTTATTTTAAATATTTTTATTGTTTTGACAAATTATTTAGAACATTTCCACTCTGTATTTTGAGCAGCTAACGTATCTTGGTGTGTACAGTAGAGTACTCCAGCATTGTTAACGTAGCGTAAATATGTAGGGGATAATAAGTCGATAGAAGAAATGTTCGTTATTTATTATTTTTAAAATAGTTCAAATACTTTTGTAAAACAAGTTGTATAACTAATTTTGACAATTGAGGTTTTGAACTTCTGATGGGACTTTTACCAAAAACCCATCACATTTTCTAAAAGAAAACATTAATCAATGCAAATTATACACTTTGATAATATCAATAAAGTCAATTTTTTACCGCAGATTTGAACTACAAAAAAAGGGTTT